ATAAAGATATTAGGATTCCTCAAATTAAGTTATAGATCCCTACAAAACTGTATAAGTATCATTCTTTATTAAGATGCATAAGAACTAATATCTATTCTTGAGATTTTCTTTTCTCAGCACCATTCCCAGTAATCACAAGATGGCTGCTACACCGCATCAGCTGATGATCACCTCTGCTTTCCCGAAACTGCATTCCATGGAGACCCACCTACAATTGAGGAACTGCACTAGACCCACCCTTAATCCACCCCTGAATAGGAATTGCACTAGACCCACTTTTAATCCACCCCTAAATAGAATCTATGTTCTTTATTGTTAAAAGACTTTATGAGCTGATAATTGAAACACGTAGCCCCTCTCCCATTTACTTGTATGTAACACATTTTCAATAAAAACGCACGATAATTCCTAGCAGTTGTCACTCCTCAGAGGGCGACCTCTGAGGGGTGTCCAGCATAGGACGTGCATGAGAAAGCATCGAGGCCTCTGTCTTCTGTTCACCTTCGCCGCCTTCGTCGAGATAACCCACCCATGCCGAGGCTGGACCCCGGCACCATTCAACATTTAAAATGTGTAAATAAGGGCCAGCAGGTGGCACAGTGGTTAAGGCACTGGACTCTCACATGGCCAACCATGGTTCCTAGTCCTGGACTTGGAGGCGTGAAAATCACACCAGGCGGGACCAGCAGATGGTGTAATGGTTACATCGCTGGACTCCAAGTCCCGGACCAGTGGCTTAAAGCTCAACCTGGGCATGTGTGTTTATGTGCCCAAGATCCCAAGGGAAGAATGGGGAAGGGATTACAACATGACCATTACCCCTGGGGGGTGATTTATTGTTTTCTGTTTCTCTGTCTGTCTCTCCAGCGAGCACATGCACCCCATAGCCAAATATATAAACCCTCTCAAAAAAAAAAAAAAAAAAAAAAAAAAAAGAAAGGAAGAAAATCACATTGGGCATGTATGATACATGTCCAAAATCCCAAGAGGAAAATGGAGGAGAAAGGACTGTGATGTGGCCATCCCTCAGAGAGGTGATTTCTCACTTTCCCTCTCACCATCTCTCTCTAGCTATCGCACATGCCCCATGGCAAAAACCTAAAAATAACATAAAATACATAAATAAAAATGTAATATTGGCAGAGATTATTTTTAGGCTGTGAGATTTAAAGCTAATGATTACCTACCATGCATGGATCAGGCAATACACAAGACATTAGGAATATTTAAACTATTATCTTTAGGGCCAGCCAGTGGTATGGTTAAGGTAGCTGGATGCCACACGACTGACTGTAATTCAAGTCCCAGACCCAGGAGCTTGAAAAGCACACTGTGTGTGTGTGCGTGTGTGTGTGTGTGTGTGTGTATGTATGCCTAAAATCCTGAGAAGAAAGTGGAGAAGCACTGCAGCATGACCATCCCCGTAGGAGGGCACTTTCTTGCCCCCTCGCCCCCAAAGAGCACACACATTCTCTAGCAAATTAAAATTAAAATAAACTACTATTTTTATTACAAAAGGTCTTTCTACATCTAATAGCACAGGACTAAACTTTGTACCTCTATTCCCTCTAACCTCAGAGCAAACTTGCAAGGTAGGGATTTTTACCCCCATTTTCCAAATTTGAAAGCCAAGAAGACACAAGAGGTTCTGAAGCCAGCTCAAGGCCATACAACAGAAAGTGGTGAAGCTGTGACTGAAATCCTGGTCTGAGAAGCTTATGTGTGGTACTCTTCTCCACTCCTAGGGCCACATGGACACACCCCTCATATTACTGTAACAGCCCACCTGTACACTTCCCTCCAGCTTCACTTCATTCTCATCTCCCATACACAAATATTGCATGACTCTTGTGTAGTGAGCGAAGCAAACCTTAGCACTTCTCATGTCTGGGAAACGGGACATTCACTACTCTGCCTCCCTCATACACAGTGATCTTCCTAAAAGACAATGCTGATAAAGTCATCTCCTACCTTCAATTCCTCAATGGCTCCCAGTTACCTTTAAGACAAAGCTTTCACTCCAGAACTCACAATCAATTCTTGGCCAACTCCAGTATTCCTTATCACTCTCAGGATAAAGCGTTCACTCTGGAACTCACAAGCTGATTTCTGCAGCTTCATTTCCCATAGTCCCCAAACGAACTCTGCTCTCTGGCCATACCAGCACCTTCAGGATGTAGTGACATTCTCGTGTTTCTAGGCCACAGGACACATCATTTCCTGTGTGAAACGCTTTTAAACCCGTATCTACGCAGCTAGAAATGACTGATTAATCTTTAAGACTTAGTTTAAATGTAAACTCTAGAAAATCATTACTTATGCTCCCCATGTGTATCAGGTCCCCTTTTAGGACATCCTACAAGACCTTCTTCAATCACAGCCCATATTGGAATGGGTTCTAACTGCTGGCTTACTTGCTTCTGGTCAGGACCACATGTTCTTCGAGGCCAGGGACCTATCTCTCATACTCTGCTGCACGACCTAGCACATAACCTGGCACAGAGCTAATGTCCAATAAATAAATACTTGTGGAGAGAGTATGGCACCTGGTCTAGTAGGCAAGATAGATCATACACAACGAAATAAAACAAAACATGGTAAATGTGAACGTAGGAAAGGTGTAGCAAGAATGCTGTCCAAAGAAGGAAGGCTGGAAGGTGGGAAAACCTGGGGGAACACATTTACCTACATTCTGGGGCTCCTTACCTGATTTCTTAAAAGTTTACTCAAACCCTGGCATTACTGCTGCTCTAAAGGTCCTGAGTGCTGGGACCAGCAGTTGGTGTAATGGCTATGTTGCTGGACTCCCATGTAGTCAACCACAGTTCGAGTCCCAGAACCCGGTGGCTTAAAACTCACGCCGGGCACGTGTGCGGGTGTGCCCAAGATCCCGAGAGGAGAATGGAGGAGAAGGGATTGCGGCGTGACCATCCCCCCTGGGGGGGGATTTCTCGCTTTCTGTCTCTATGTCTCTCTCTGTCTGTCTGGCGAGCGCACGCGCCCTACAGTGAAAATCTCTCAAAAAAAAAAAAAAAGGTCCTGAGTGTTTACCTGAATGGTACTGTTTATGTGCCCAAGATCCCGAGAGGAGAATGGAGGAGAAGGGATTGCGGCGTGACCATCCCCCCTGGGGGGGGATTTCTCGCTTTCTGTCTCTATGTCTCTCTCTGTCTGTCTGGCGAGCGCACGCGCCCTACAGTGAAAATCTCTCAAAAAAAAAAAAAAAGGTCCTGAGTGTTTACCTGAATGGTACTGTTTATGTGCCCAAGATCCCGAGAGGAGAATGGAGGAGAAGGGATTGCGGCGTGACCATCCCCCCTGGGGGGGGATTTCTCGCTTTCTGTCTCTATGTCTCTCTCTGTCTGTCTGGCGAGCGCACGCGCCCTACAGTGAAAATCTCTCAAAAAAAAAAAAAAAAAAAAAAAGGTCCTGAGTGTTTACCTGAATGGTACTGCCTGAAGCACTTTATATGAACTAATTTGCTTAATTCTTACAAGTGCCTTATGCCTTTCACTGATGAGGAAACTCAGGCTCAAAAATAAGAAACTGGGGGAACCAGCAGTTAGCGTAATGGCTATGTCGCTGGACTCCCACGTAGTCGACTGCGGTTCGCGTCCCGGACCCGGTGGCTTAAAACTCACGCCGGGCACGTGTGCGTGTGTGCCCAAGATCCCGAGAGGAGAATGGAGGAGAAGGGATTGCGGCGTGACCATCCCCCCTGGGGGGCGATTTCTCGCTTTCTGTCTCTATGTCTCTCTCTGTCTGTCTGGCGAGCGCACGCGCCCTACAGTGAAAATCTCTCAAAAAAAAAAAAAAAAAAAAAAGAAACTGGGGCTGGAAGGTGGCACAATGGTGGCATGGAGCTCCCAGCAGCTAACCCACACAGGACAGTTCCAGATGCCTAGAGATCTCTTTGAATGCTAGGCATGAGCATGTCCATGATCCGGAGCTGGCTCAAGTTGGGGGAGGGCTGCAGTGTCAAAGACCCTGTTGCGGGTATCTGTCTCCCACTCTCCTCCTGTTTCTCTCATTCACAGAAGCTGGGGGAAAATGGACTTTGGAAAAAAAAAAAAAAAGATGCTTGCTTATTCTTATTTTTAGTTTGCTTGTTTTGGTTGGTCAGTTTTTTTGTTTGCTTATACTCACCATTCTCAATAAAGAAGCCTTGGGGTCAGCAGCTGGCACAGTGGTTAAGGAGCTGGACTCCCACATGGTCAGTTACGGTTCAAGTCCCAGATTTGGTAGTTTGAAACTCACCTGGAGCATGTGGACATGTGTGCCCAAAATCCTGAGAGGAGAATGGAGAAGAGATTGTGGCACAGACATATCGCTGGGGGTGATTTCTCACTTTCTCTCTCTGTCTCTATCTCTTCAGTGAGAGCACACACCCTATCGCAAAAAACCTCTTTAAAAAAGCCTAAAAGGGGACCAGCAGTGGCATGGTGGTTAAGATGCTGGACACTCCCACATGGCCGACCAGAGTTCGAGTCCTGAACCTAGTGGCTTGCTTTCTCACTTCCTCTCTCTCTCACTCTCACCCTCTCTCTCTCTGGTCAGATTGAAAAATAAATGAATGAATAAATAAAATAAAATAAATAATTATTTTTTAAAAAAGACACTTGTTCAATGTCAGACAACTATTAGTGGCAGAATCAAGATGCAAACCCAGATCTTTGGTCTCCTGAACTGGGGTTTTAACTAGTACCCTACTCGTTAGTTCAAAAGTTAAATCTCCTGGCCAAATACCAAATTTGCTTAAACCTAATTAAACCACAGTGATTAAACTAAGATTTGTTTTTATTTTAAACCGAGTGAAAAGTGCACCTCAAATTATCACATACTGGGTCTTCAGAAAAGTCATGACATATTTCTCTATGTTTCTCTATGCAAAAATGGTCATGACTTTTCCTACTACCGAATACTTCCTGACCTGTTAAGTAGAATATCTTGATGTAATTTAACTTTTCTTTTTTTTTGGAGAGATCATCAGGACCATTCTTGTGTTCATATTTTTTTCTTAAAAGAATTATTTTATTTTAATTTAATTTTATTATTATTATTAATTTGCTATAGGGCATGTGTGCTCACCAGAAAAAGACAGAGAGAGAGAAAGTAAGACTATCTCTATGTCTCTCTCTGTCTGTCTGGCGAGCGCATGGGGCCTATAGCAAAAACCTCTCCAAAAAAGAAAATTACCTTTTATTTGTCTTGATAATAAATTTTTTTTTGGAGAGGTT